AAAAACTAGTCTAAATTTGTGTAACTTATTTTTTTTTAATTGTGTCGTTTTTATCGTTAAAATAAAGAATATGGAGGATTTATGGTATTTCTGAAATTATACCAAAATACACCAAAATGCATGTCTATTTATAGAGAATTAAATTTTATGACCGTTGGTAATTTTAATTTTTTTTTTTAATAAAAATTTATTTCAGAATTTGCATTACAAAAAATATAACCATTGCAAATTGTGGGGCCCACCAGAGCACTATTCATCTTAAAAAATACTCAAGTCTTGGGCATTTTCAGAAATGCTCATGAGCATTTTTTGGCTTTTTCTCATTTGCTCACCATTGTAATGCATGAGCAAATTTTATACCCACCCAAAATGCCCAAGAGCAAATTTTTAGCTCACCGTTGGTAGTGCTCTAAGTATTAACTACCCTAGGAATCAATGCACAGAGTTTGATTACTTTTTCCTCTTTCCAATTCATATTCTTCGTAAGTCTTAAAAGTAATAACTATATAACCTTTGGAATTCCATTCAACTTATTTTTTTATTTTATCATACCATAGTATACTGTATTTTCTTGTTAGAACCATTTTTTTTTTTCTTGGTGAGAATTATAAACCAAAATTTTCATTTTTCATTCTCAATTAATTATTAGCAACGGAGAAGAATTATTTTTTTTTTTTTCTTATTCTTTTAATATTTTTAACTTCTTTTTATTTTTAAGGATCCTTGAATTACCATCAACCGAAGAGATTCTCAATCAACTGTTATAGAGGAAATAAAAATCTGCTTTATATTATCATACATATCATATTGAAGGATAATTATGAATATTTACTCTTGATAATAATTGACTTAATCAGCTAGCATTATCTTTTAGTAGTACTTATCTTTGCAAGTTAGTTCCTTATTTTTAGTTACCGTTTTGCTGATTTGTTTAGCAACTCAGCGGCTACTTTAATTAGGTTTTTGTATTATGCTTTGCCTATTTAAGCTCATGCTAGGCATCCTCAATAAATCATTAAAAATCATTTCTTCCATATGGTATCAGATTCATAAAGATCTTGAGCCTACAAACACAATCCCTTCACAATGACCAACGACAACAACATCATCTCCAACCCCAATGACCCGTCGAAGCCCTTCACCCTTATACAAATTTCCAACTCCATCAAGCTAACCTCCACAAACTTCATTGCATGGAAAACTCACATCCAAGCAACTCTCTTAGGGTATGACCTATGGAAGTTTGTTGATGGAACCTATCCCTCACCTTCGACCTCTATCACTGCTGCTGATGGTTCGTCCACTATCAACCACGCTGCTTTGCCTTGGTTTCGTCAAGACAGACTCGTCTTTGGTGCAATTGTAGGCATCCTATCCCAAGACATTGTGCCCTTGGTCTCTCAAACAGCCACGGCAGAGGAGGCTTGGTCAGTCCTTGCCAAGACCTACGCCAATCCCTCGAGAGGCCATTTTAAACAAATTTAAACCACCCTTAACCAGATTGCTCACACAAATCAATCCATAACTTCCTATATGCAAGCGATCAAGCAATGCACGGATCGTCTTGCGGCTATGGGGAAACCCATGGACCATGAAGATATCATCGACAAGGTGCTCTCGGGCCTTGACTATGAGCAATACAAATCGGTGATCGATGCTGTCAATGCACGTGACAACCCCATCTCCTTTGATGAGCTTCATGAGAAGCTTATCAACAAAGAGGTTACGGCCTCCATCAAAGCTGCCCCTGCTACATTCCCGGCCTCCGTGCATTTAGCCCAACACCGTGCTAAGGCACCTACACCCAGTGGTGTCTCTTCCTCCAACGGGGCACACCAATCTCGACGACCCTACCTTGGCAAATGTCAGTGGTGTCGTGAACAAGGACACTCCTTGGGTCAATGTGCTGTGTTCAAGAGCCAATTCCCAACTATCCATGTGCCTACCCCAATGCATCCAAGGGCTGTCAAGAAAAGCACTCAGCCGTCACCTAGTGCACCCCAAGCTCACATGGCTACCGTCTCTGATCTACCATCGGATGCATGGTTACTTGATAGCGGAGCGTCACACCGTGTCACAAATGACCTTGCCAATTTGTCTCTTCATGCTCCCTATGATAGTACTGAAGAATTGGTGATCGGTGATGGCTCAACCCTCCCTATTCAGCACACAGGTTCCTTCTCATTTAACACAAATTCTGTCAAATTTCACTTTTCCAATGTCTTGCATGTGCCTTCCATTTCTAGGAATATTCTCTCTATTTCTCAATTTTGTAAAGAAAATAACACGAGTATTGAGTTCTTACCCTCTTGTTTTCGTGTTAAGGAGCTTTCACAGGGGAAAATTCTTCTACAGGGCCCAACTAGAGCTGGAATATATGAATGGAACCCATCTCTGCCTCAAGCATTTTCTTCAATAAAGATGCCTTCTAGTGAATGGCACCACCGTCTAGGACATCCATCATTATCTATTCTTAGGATTTTAAAGTCAAGTTATAATTTGTCAATTCCTGCCTTTGCAATTTCAAATTGTAATGCATGCAACATGAATAAAAGTCACAAGTTTCCCTTTTCCCTTTCATCTTTGTGTTCACAAAATCCCCTTGACCTAATTTTTTCGGATGTATGGACATCTCCTATTCTGTCTACCGAAAATTATAAGTACTACGTTATTTTTGTTGATCACTTCACAAAATATGTTTGGTTTTACCCACTTAAGAAAAAATCGGATGTATTTGATGTATTTAAAAGGTTCAAGGAACTTGTTGAAAATTATTTTAACAAAAAAATTAAACAATTCTTTTCTGATAATGGTGGTGAGTTTGTCACACTAACTCCGTTCCTCACATCGAATGGTATTTCACATCTCACATCTCCACCTTACACACCCGAACATAATGGCTATGCCGAACGTCGTCATCGTCATATTGTAGAAACGGGTCTCTCACTTCTTTCACACAGTAACATTCCAAATCAATATTGGCCAAATGCTCTAGCAACTGCCACTTATTTGATCAACCGTCTACCTACCCCATCACTAGAAAATCAATCCCCATATCTCAAGCTTCTTGGTAGTGCTCCAAATTATCACAAGTTACGCAACTTTGGTTGTCTTTGCTACCCTTAGTTGAGTCCTTACACCACTCACAAGTTAGACCCAAAATCTCTTCCTTGTGTCTTCATTGGGTACTCGTCAACTCAAAGTGCATATCATTGCTTAGATCCCTCTACCAATCGCATTTATACATCAAGGCATGTGAAATTTGTGGAAAATGTGTTTCCCTTTAGTGAGTTGTGCAGGGTTGCAGGTTCATCACCAACGGCATCCTTAGATGAGTGGGCTTAGTTAGATGTGCCAATCCTCGCACATGAGCCAAATACCAACCCCAACAACATCGCCACCCACTCACCTCCTCCCACCCCTACTGCCTCCGCAACCCCGTCACCCCCTTCCCCCCACAAAATACCTCACCGCCACAAATAGCCAACCCACCACCACCTCCTCGGTCCATGATTACAAGACTGCAAAATAATATTATCAAACCAAATCCTAAATATGCCAATACAGCCACTCTACCCACCGCCTCTTGTGAACCCACAAATATCACCCAAGCTCTCAAAAGTCCTCAATGGCGAGAAGCCATGACTTCTGAGTTTAATGCTCTTACTCGCAATAAAACTTGGGAGCTTGTCCCGCCACACCCCTCTCAAAATCTGGTTGGCAACAAATAGGTATTCCGCACAAAATACACTTCGAAAGGTGATGTTGAACGTTACAAAGCTAGACTTGTTGCCAAAGGCTTTCATCAACGACCGGGTATTGATTTTTCAAAGACATTTAGTCCGGTAATTAAGCCAACCATAGTTAGGGTCATGCTTTCACTTGCGGTTACACGAGGTTGGTCCATTCGGCAATTGGACATAAACAATGCCTTCCTTCAAGGCTCACTCAAGGAGGAGGTTTACATGACTCAACCCCCTGGTTTTCTTGACAAAGATAAGCCAACCCATGTGTGTAAATTGAGCAAGGCAATATACGGTCTAAAACAAGCACCTCGTGCTTGGTATAATGAGCTACGCCAATTTCTTCTGTCGTTCAGGTTTACGAACTCCATTGCCGACTCCTCCCTGTTTATGTATCATCATCATGGCATTGTGCTTTACTTACTTGTTTATGTGGATGATATAATTGTCACAGGACCTTCCCCCAACGCATAACAAGAGTTTATTAGCTCTCTGGCTGCAAGGTTTTCTCTAAAAGATCTTGGTCCTTTGTCATACTTTTTAGGAGTTGAGGTAGTTCCCACTGATCAAGGCCTGTTCTTGAGTCAACGAAAATATATTGGGGATTTGTTAGCTCGTGCAAACATGACAACGGCTAAACCAGTCACCACTCCGATGATAGCTCATCTGCCTCTCACGATTGATGCAGGATCATCCACTCCACATGCCTCTGATTATCGTGCTCTTGTTGGTGGATTGCAGTACCTAGCTCTAACTCGCATCGACATTGCATTCTCTGTTAACAAGATTTCCCAATTTATGCACAGGCCATCGGACCTACATTGGGCAGCCCTTCGTCGATTGCTACGGTACTTGAATGGCACCATTGATCATGGTTTGATGCTCTATAAGGATTCACCTCCTCGTCTTCATGCCTACACTGATGCTGATTGGGCTGGTGATCGAGACTCCTTTGTGTCTACAACTGGCTACATCGTTTACCTCGGTCGTTATCCCCTGTCTTGGAGTTCTAAAAAACAACAAGGAGTTGCTCGTTCGTCCACCGAAGCTGAATTCCGGGCTGTTTGTTGCTTCTACCACGGCTGAACTGCTCTGGTTGCAGTCTTTACTCTCTGAGCTTCGTGTTTCACTACCCACGCCACCCAGCATATATTGTGACAATCTTAGTGCCACGCATTACTCCAAAAATCCAGTTTTTCATTCAAGGATGAAGCACCTTGCTCTTGCTTTCCACTTTGTCAGAGAACATGTTCAACTTGGTAAGCTACATGTGCATCACATTTCTGGTGACGATCAACTGGCAGACGCACTCACGAAGCCACTTGCTTTGACTCGATTTTCAACGTTGCTGTCCAAAATTGGTTTAGTCCAACGACACTCCAATTTGAGGGGGATATTGAAGGATAATTATGAATATTTACTCTTGATAATAATTGACTTAATCAGCTAGCATTATTTTTTAGTAGTACTTATCTTTGCAAGTTAGTTCCTTATTTTTAGCTACTGTTTTGCTGATTTGTTTAGCAACTCAGCGGCTACTTTGATTAGGTTTTTGTATTATGCTTTGCCTATTTAAGCTCATGCTAGGCATCCTCAATAAATCATTAAAAATCATTTCTTCCATATATCATTCTTGATTCATTATACCTATTCCACAATTCTCCAATTACTTTTTTTTATTAACCTTCTGCTTTTGGATTGCTGGGAAAAGGAAAGCTACCCCTAAGTCCACTACAGCAAAAATTCTGATTGCATTTTATGTCAATTTTTATAAGGTTAAGATTAATTGCAGGGGTTTCCTTTAGGTTTTCTCCTTGGGAGGGCTTTTTTGTTCCCTCTAGGGTTTCTCCCTTGGGAAGGTTTTCCTAGCCTTAATTGTTAGGTTTTTTCAATTTTTTTTTTTGAAGGTTTTCCTTCTCTCTTCTCCCTTTTCTCTCCATCTCTACCATATCTTTCCTCTTGGTCTCAGTTGTGAATCTTTGTAGGGGCTTCCACTGGCGTTCTTACCGGTGATAAGCCCCCAAAAACCTTTTAATTCCGTTCAATAAATAAATCTCATCCTTGAGATGATGATTTTCCTCTTGTGTTTATTTTCTTTTTATGTTTGTATGGCAAAAATTGAAAATATAGGGTTTCATAATCTCTTCAAGAATTCGGAGGACCACATAGTATTTTCACCCAAACGACTACACATCACTGGATGTCAAGCCGAATAAGTGTGAACTCACAGATTGTATTGCTTCAAATGAAGTTTTTTATTAAGGCGATTGTTAATCAAATCTATGATGTATTTATTTTTAAGGTGTGTAATTGTGTTGAAATTCTTGATTTCTTAGGAATTATATGTAAGTGTCGTTTGGCTATATTTTATTAATGAAATCCCTTTTTCTTCTTTTCAAAAAAGATTAATTGCAGGACATTATCATGTTATTTGAGTTTTCTATTTTTAAAAAAAACCAGAAAAAATTTATTTAAGTTATTAATTAGAACTTAATTTTTTTTTTTGAGAACCAATTAACTAGAGCTTACTTGTCTTAAAATTTAGGGCCTCGTCTAAAAGAATAGAACAGGGCCTCAAAAATGTTTAAGACGACCCTTTTTCTTCTTTTCAAAAAAGATTAATTGCAGGACATTATCATGTTATTTGAGTTTTCTATTTTTTAAAAAAAATTCTGAAAAAATTTATTTAAGTTATTAATTAGAACTTAAATTTATTTTTTTTTGAGAACCAATTAAGTAGAGCTTAATTTGTTAAGACAAATATGTATTTTTTAAAATTTAGGGCCTCGTCTAAAAGAATAGAACAGGGCCTCAAAAATGTTTAAGACGACCCTGTTGTGTGACGCAGTTATATTTAGAGATATGGTTAGTACGAAAATAATACATGTGTGTGTCTAATTTACAAATACGCACTCTTGTTTATTGACGACAAGGGTGTTTGGAGCTTGTAAAAATCGAGCTAGTCAAGGCGGACACGAGTGAATTTGAATCATCAAGTTTTGGGGCGTTTTGGAGGTTGATGATGGTTTAATACATGCAGCGACACAATATCAACTTAATTCTAGCAACACCACACCAAGCAAATGATCAAAGACAACACTGGGTTGGAAACTTGAATGATCACTAATTATTGCTCCTTAAAGAGCTTCATATTGGAATTACAAAAAAATAACATCGACGACCATATCGATTTACAAAATTACAAATTAGAGTATTTTAAATGAATATTGTAAACATAATTGATTCTAATGATGCCAGTGCTCATTGTCTAAATATTGCTCATTTCACCTAATGTTCTAAAGCATAATCCTCAATGATATGATTTGTTAACCTGATATTCACTCATTTAAACTTATCTAAACTTAATAAAATATTATTACTTGAATCCATAAATAACTGTTATAAAGAAACATAATTGTAATGGTAAAGAAAAATGCCTTGTAAATTTTGACAATTCAAATACGGAGTATCACATTTAATTTAGAATTGAGAGATACTAGGCATGTCTAATTGACCTTATAAATACCTAATGTGGGAACTAGGAAGTTACCTATCCTAAGAGCCTGTTATGCTTAACTTATTTTCGTTTATTTCAACTCTATTAAATTCATTTAAGTTCTAATAAGATAAGCTCCTGAAAAATAAGTTCTAATAAGGGCTATCAAAGTTCAAATCGCAGCTAATATAATTTTGAATAAGGTCTAATAAATTCAAGTAATTTCAGATTAGATAAATTCAGGTATGTGAAAATCAGATGATATCAAACATACCCTTAGCCTACATAATTATTTCTCTTTCCTTTTATTTTTTCAAAAATATCCAAGCCCACTAAAATTGAGTGGATTTAAAGTGTTAAGAGTAATATTTTGTATATACATATTGCAATAACCTTTTATTTAAGCAATAGTAATAAGACTTTACTGTGTTAAAAATTTTAATTGTGCAAAACATATCAATAAATCAGAGTGGCGCAGCGGAAGCGTGGTGGGCCCATAACCCACAGGTCCCAGGATCGAAACCTGGCTCTGATAGTAAAAGAGTAAGCTTCCAAATGCCAACATTTTTGTTTACTGTATTTTCATGATTTTATCATTGCACTTGGTACATCTTATAGCTCACTATCTAGGTTTCCATTGTAAGCTCAAAACAGCCCAACTACATGCTAGCAACATGAAACAGAAGCTGCTAGGAATGTGAATAACTGAATATGTTACATCTTACGAATATCTTATAAAATCAAAAAATTTCCATCAGATTACATTGTCAAAATTTGATTCACAGCACATCATGTTTATATTTCCCTACAATGTGCACGCTCATCTCGGATATATTGAAAATTGCTGAGCTTCATACCAACAGGACACAATCTTACAGCCATAATTTTACAACAATGAGGAAGTCACGCCATGTGATTGACTGGGATGCAGTTTTCTTTTCTTTCAGATTCGATTTTTTTTGGAGCAAACTTATGCAGTCGAAATAGTCATCATCTCAGAAAAAAGTCATCCTCGTGAATGTGACAAAAATTGACAAGTAAGCTCATGGAGAATCTTGATCATTATCACTTAGAAATTTGAACCACTTCCAATTTGCATAGAGATTTGCTTCATCTTCAAACAACAGATTGCTATTTGGAGGCTCAGTTTTACGTGTTGTGGATATACTAGGAAGCTTACGTCTATATTTCCTTGCCATTTCTTCAGCCTCTGCAAATACTTTCTAGCCATAGCAAATGCACAGGTAATTTTTAGAATGAAATTATGAATGCAAGATGATTAGTTACTGCAGGTTACCAAACACAAACAAATTTAAGGAGATGTTTAAGCACCTCTTTGTCTGATATCAAGAGCCCAGGCTTGCTTTCCAGATCCGCGATACTGCAAAGCAAAATGCAGAAGCCTTAAATCCTCCAGCAACTTGTGCTTTGAACTCAATGCACATTGCATGTATTCTTATACACACATAAGTAATCAGAAAATTTAACTAAAGGTACCTTAAGCTACCATCTACAATTAGTATTTGTGGGGAACTACCTGTACAGACCTTTTGTTGCTCCACTGTCCCACTCAGCTTTAATTTATGTGCAAATCACAGCTCTTTTTTTCCTCCCCTGTGTGTATCAGCCTTTTTAAAATAAGAATAAAATATCCACTTAACCTATAATGAAACGCATGCCCCACTGACCCTAGGCGCAACCCAATCAACTATACAGGCCTGTTTACTATCCTCCCTTTCCTGCTTAATCAGCATATGCTAATGTATCATACACATACCTTCTAATTACCTTTCCACTCAGTAAAGTCTTAGTTCAACATGTTGAAAACAATATCAGAATTTCAAGCAATTTGTCCCACTACCCCCAGAATAATTCGAATACTACTTCAAAACTGTTTTCTTTCTGAGTTTGTATCAGACTATCAGTTCAACCACCATCTCTCTCCCCTTGTCTTCTCGTACTAAATAGTGCAAGACTTTGTTCTTTTACCTTCACATTCTACTATTCTAGGGGTCGCCCATAGCTATTCATATCACCTAATGCTGTCTTAATTTTCACAGCAAAACCGCGCCTCCATATTTTGGAACCATATCAAACACTTATGGGGTTAAGGCTTTGATTGATTGATTGATCAAACACAACTTAAGGATAAGTTTGGAATCCAATACGTTGGTGAAATAATCAAATAATACCAGAAGATTTAAACCTTAGTATTCTTACTGCCATAAGTGTCAACTTCCAGCTTCTTCCTTAGGAATAAGGAGAGAAGTGTAGAGAACTTTGAAAACTGAGAAAAGGGGCAATTGTTATGAATCCAGAAAAACTGCGGGTAAGATGAGAAACCCTGAGTTTGTATTGAGAGATATTGGTAATCAACGAAGGAGCATAGGGGAATAACGATTACATCACCCCAAAGAATTCAGGTCAAGTGGAGGACAACTTGAGTTTTCGCAGTTTCTGGGTAGTTGGGTCTTCAAATTTTGTGGAGTAAGTAGATGTAAGGGTGGGGTATCCAGTTTTCAGTGGGGTGAAAAGTTTTAGCAGGTCTTTTTAGGGGGTTAAGGGAAAAGGTTTCAAATTAAAAGCAAGG